CCCCCCCCCAAAAAAAAAAAAAAAAACAAAAACACACACCAAACAAAAGCAAAAAGAAAAGACTAATTACCCTAAAATGGTTTCACTAAAATATATATCACTAGAACCTACAACTAGAATGTCCAGATACATGTGCTGCTTATAGTTAAAAATACACATGCAATTTAGAAATAAAGAGTTATTAAAAGGCTTCATTTGTTTAGTAAGTAGATGGATAGATTTCGAAGAAAATATACATCAAGTTCAAAATTTTCACTTGAAGCAATCCAGCAAAAATACACACACCGAATTGAGTACTAAATATACCCCAAACCCATTAAAAATCCTAAAATTTTGACATCAAATTCATACATCTCTAAAATTTAGAAACATGAATAACAGTAATAATAGTAATACCTCAACCATCTCTACATTACCGAACCGTTCAAACAACCCAGCCAGAGCGGCACTGTCCACACTAAAGGGCAAGTTACCCACGAAGAGTTTGAGGTCTGGTGAGAAACTACGCCCCTCTGAGTCATCACCGAAGACCTCCTCTTCTTCTTCTAATTGCCGAAAATTAGAAGAAACTGCGACTTTTCGTACCAAGCGAGACGACGACACTTCGAGAAGTTTATATGAAGAAGACAGGGAAATGAGCTTGGGAAGAGGCTTGAGCGAGGTAGTAGAGAAGAGATAGACTGAAGTAGTAGTGGGTTTGGAAGAGGAGAGAGACAGGGTTTGGGGAGTGAGAGAGAAGAAATGGATGGACGAAGCAGAGGAGGCCATGGCAATGGCAGTATTAGCGAGTAGGGTTGTCTTAGCAGATAAGGTTTTGGGAAGGGCCGAAGATCTCGTTTTATAAGAGAGGCTGAGATATTTTGAGAAAGAGAGAGAGAGGGAGAGAGAGAGAGAGAGGGGAGTAGGGATGGTAGGGGATCGGAGAAAAAAGATATTCGTTTAAATCTATTTTATTTGAATCGAAGATGAATTATATTTATTGGACGGTTGACGTATATGAAAATACTTATATAAATTTGTATGAAGATGAAGGCGGGGATGAACTTATCCTTATCCCGCCCCGCCCCGTCCCCATCCCCGAACCAGTTAAATATATATATATGTCACGTATAGGTTATTACATTGATCACGTATAAGCTTCTTTACTTATTGTGAGAATAATTTGGCTTGGGGTAAAATCATGTATAGGTCATTACATTGATCAATTACTTTTTTATTACATTCTGTATTTTTTAACAAATTATAGAGGAGTTCACCGGATGAAATTCTTGGCATATGTGTGTTTATAAATTTTTATTAGAAGTTTCAGAACCATAAATACTTTTACATTGGGCTTTTATCATCTTTTACTTTCATTCCATATGTGATGTCATTAATGGATGTCATAATTTCAGAACACATAAATGACATATATATAGGTTTCCTTCTTTATGTCATTTTAGCAAATGTTTTTGGAACATTTATGCAGGCCATGGCCTTGTTGAGACAGACCACAACAATGTCCATAGAATTGTAGCTAATTATCTCTCAGAATAATTTCCCTTGTTTCAACATAATTGAGTGTAAAGAATAAAAGACACACTTTTTATATTGTTACATCTTCTATTCTGATCATAGCAAAAAAAAAAAAATTAAGCTATTTTAATTCTTTATGACTTTGCTTGTGCTTGGGCGGGTACGGGGGAAGCGGGGACGGGAACGGGGTAGTCGTCCTTGGGACATGTCTTGTTTAGATCAGTGAAGTCTACGCAGATACGCCATTTTCCCCCTTCTTCTTCGCGCAAACCGTGTTAGACAACCATTCTAGGAACTGTATCTCTCGAATGACATTGGCCTTCAGGAGTTTATCGATTTCTTCATTGATCGCGCGGCGTGTGATGCGGGGCCATGCGTCGTGGCTTCTGTTTTACTGGCTTGTGCGCCGGGTCAACATTCAGCTTGTATGTGATTATTTCGGGGTCCACTCTCGTCATTTTTATTGTGTTCCAAGCGAACACGTCTGCATTTCTCCTTAGGAACTCAATCATCTCCTCCTGTTCNTCAGCTTGTATGTGATTATTTCGGGGTCCACTCTCGTCATTTTCATTGTGTTCCAAGCGAACACGTCTGCATTTCTCCTCAGGAACTCAATCATCTCCTCCTGTTCGGCTGCGAGCATCGCGGTTCCAACTAAGAAATGTCTTTCTTCCTCTCCCTCCACCAAGGGCAACTTCCGGAGGTCCTCCACCGACCGCTCAGTTGGGTCTATCCGGGGGTCATCCATTCTGGACGCTCGGATTGTGATTGCTATTTCTCCATGATCTCNACGCCCCAACTGTGATTGCTATTGTTCCAGGATCTCTTCCGGAGCTCGCCCATTTTCTTGGGTGAAAGCCCCTACTCTAACAGCTAAATAAAAACAGTTTTTTGCGAACGCTTGGTCCCCTCAGATCTCCATGATCCCCTCTGGCGTAGCGAATTTTAGTTTATGGTGATAAGTGGAGTGCACCACTCCCAAAGCATGCAGTCATGCTCGTCCCATGATCACATTGTAGGGAGNTCAGATCTCCATGATCCCCTCTGGCGTAGCGAATTTTAGTTTATGGTGATAAGTGGAGTGCACCACTCCCAAAGCATGCAGTCATGCTCGTCCCATGATCACATTGTAGGGAGAGTCCGTATTAATCACGACAAACTCGGTGTTGATGGTGAAGGGACCTGTGACAACTGGCAATGTGATTTTGCCTATGGGCAGGGCGAACAAGCCGTTGAATCCGATGAGAAGTGTCCTGACCTTGGTGAGGTCCTTGAGGCCAAGACTCATCCGTTTTAAAGTGTCAGAGTACATCACTTCCGAGGAACTTTCGGAGTCTATCAACACCCTCTTGATGTCAAACTTACCTATCTTCAGAGTTATGACAAGGGTGTCATTATAAGGAGTCACCACGCCTGTCAAGTCCGCGTCGGAGAACGTGATGCTAGGCTCGCCAATCCTGGCCCTTTTACTGGGCGGCCCCCCATCATCCTCAGCTATCTCCCTTGTAAAAGCTACCCTCTTAAGATCGGACTCGAGTTCCTTGGACGTGGGGCGATCTAGCAAACATACATGGATCACATCTATAACGTTGTCCGGCTCCTCGGTCGGGGCAGGGGTGTGTCTCTCTTCCGGCCTGGGCTCTATGTATTGTTTTAAGTATCCGTCTCGGACCAATCTTTCCAAGAAAGATTTGTATACCCTGCAGCTTTCGGTGCGATGACCGAAATCCCGGTGATAGGAACACCTAACCTTTTGATCACGGGTGGAGGGATCGCTCTGCATCCTGGGCGGCCACTTGAAGAATGACTCATGTTTGATCTTATAGAGCAACTTGAAGATGGGTTCCTTGAACATAGTGTGAACTCTTTTGAATGAGCCCCCCGGAGGGGGTAACAGTCCCTTTCGGGAAGTATCCTCCCGCTCCCTCTCTTTTCTCTTAGGTTGGAGGGTTCTGCCTTTGCTGCTTCCCATCTCGTCCTCAATCCTAGAGTACTTGTTTATCCGGACCATCAGCTCGCCCATATTCGAAGGAGTCTTTTTGGTCAGGGATCGGTACAGGTCTGTGTCCCTTGCCAAGTCGAGCCTAAAAGATGCCGCTGCCATGACTTTCGAGCAACTCTCTACCTCATTAACCTCTTCCCAGTACCGGATGACGTACTGGCGAAGGGTCTCGGATTCCCTCCGTCTGAGCGTTAGCAATGATCCAACGTCTTTAGGCCGCTTACTCCCCGTAATGAATCGAGCCAGGAATTGCCGAGTCAATTTCTTCCACGATTCAATGCTGTTGGGGGGAAGCGCCTTGAACCACTTCATCGTAGAGTCCCCCAAGCTCATAGGAAACACTCGGCAGAGAAACCATTGGTCTGAATGATACAGGGACATCATTTGCTTGTATTATCTGAGGTGGGCTTCGGGATTGGACCGTCCATCATAAGTTTTGAACCTCGGCACGACGAACTTTTTTAGAACCTCCATCTCTCCGATATCCCTGGTAAAGGGTGTTTGTATGACCTCGTCTTCAACCTCATCCTGGACAGCCTTACTTTTTCTCCTGGATTCCAACCGGGCTCTGAGATCAATTTTCTCCCCAACAGGATGTCTTCTGAAGTCTCTGAGTTCATCAATAGGTCCCCCGTTTCCTGGGCGTCGCGTGGATAGGGTTGAATTTTTCTCGGACTCATCTCCCTTCCTCCGTCTCGACAATCCTCGTCGGAGGTCGTTCAGGGCTAAAGGTCTTGCCTTCCTAGAATGGTAGTTAAGAGGGTGCTTGTTGGCTCTTGGTCGCTTTGGGGCCCTAGAGCTTTCTGCCTTGTTATTTAAATGATTCATTAGATCCTCCGTTTCTGCCTCCTGGGCGGGGAGCCCACGAGAAAGGAATGAGTCCTTCGACCCTTCGCCGGAGGCAACGAATTCGTTGAGCCGGCTTAGGATGTTCACATTGTCCTTTTTCAACTATCATAATCGATCCCCAAACTTTTCTTCAATCACCTCCGCCAGTTGACGAGCCAAGAGGGGGGAGGATCCTCCTGACCTGATGCCCATAGTGGTTTGAGGAGTAAGCCCTCTTGACTGAATAGAGGCATTTCTATTCCCATCAGTGTGATCCCTCCCTCCATGGTGACATGGAGCTTGTAATTCAAGCCTTCTTTGCTGGGGACATTTCCCTTTTTGTCGAGTATTCACCATGGTCACTGTTCTTTATAGAGAAAAAACTAGAAAAACTAGTCGTTTCCCACATACGGCGCCAGATTGTGCGTACTAGATCTTGTACAATATAAACACGATAACATATCTCTCTCTTGGTGAACTCAAGTGAGTCAGTTGAGTGGTCAACTCTACTGCTTAGAACAGCCTGTGAGGTCCGGTGGTAGCCTGGAACGATAATGGGAGACCCTCGTNACTAGATCTTGCACAATATAAACACGATAACATATCTCTCTCTTGGTGAACTCAAGTGAGTCAGTTGAGTGGTCAACTCTACTACTTAGAACAGCCTGTGAGGTCCGGTGGTAGCCTGGAACGATAATGGGAGACCCTCGTGGATCAACCGAACGATCCGGTAAGGTTGAGGAAGGTTTCTGGAACAAAGAAAGACAAGTTAGAAGGGCGCCAGAGTGTTTTTCGGCGTATCCTCTCCGACGATCAAGTTAGTTTTTGAGAGAGAGGAAGAAGAAAACACTGAGTATATGTTTGAGAAAAGGTTTCACCTTCTCTTTCTCGCTTTCTATCTTTCCTTTTGTGAGGAGTATTTATACCTCAAAAACTCATGATTGCTGTCAGTGTGGTCAGTAGGTGATCATTAGATACGGGCAACGTGCGCCCTGATTCTTATGAGGAATGTCTTCTCTTTTAACTGCTCGGGATCCTGAGCAACCAAGGCTGTGTCATCGGTCTGTCGACTGTTTAATGGGCTCCTCTCGGCAAGGATGTAATAAATGCCCAGCCTTAGAGACATTTATTACCTTTCACTTCCGAGCCTTATCGCATTAAATGTTGTCTCATCAAGGGAATGGTGTAATTAAATGCTTGCTTTCCCAAGTCGTGTGTCAACAAGGACATCTGTTTTTTTTGTCTCTGATGTGACACAATATGTCACGCGTCCATTCCCCATTGGCGGTNCTCAAGTCGTGTGTCAACAAGGACATCCGTTTTTTTTGTCTCTGATGTGACACAATATGTCACGCGTCCATTCCCCATTGGCGGTGTCCCCTGCCTTCTTGTGCCTTCTGACACCAATTGTGTAAGACAAGGTCATGATGACTAACATAGCCTAGCCTAGGCTAGTGACCTGTACATCAATAGCCTCTGCAGGAGCAGAGAACGCCATCCTAGACGGGTACATCTCGGTACCGAGGGAGAGTGGTACATGTAGGGACCGATGTACCCTATATGACCTCGAGGGATACGTGTCAGTATGTAACGTACTGGGTGTCATTGATCCCTATGAACAGTACCTCGGGGGGGACAGGGACTTGTGATCCTACAGGTACGTGTCGTGTTTATAGGAAAAGAATTTACTGATGCCGAGGACACGTGTCTTCATCTTGGAGTACTTGGAAATTTCCCATCAATATATATATATATATATATATATAAGTCACGTATAGGTTATTACATTGATCACGTATAAGCTTCTTTACTTATTGTGAGAATAATTTGGCTTGGGGTAAAATCATGTATAGGTCATTACATTGATCAATTACTTTTTCATTACATTCTGTATTTTTTTACAAATTATAGAGGAGTTCACCGGATGAAATTCTTGGCATAGGTGTGTTTATAAATTTTTATTAGAAGTTTCAGAACCATAAATACTTTTACATTGGGCTTTTATCATCCTTTACTTGCATTCTATATGTGATGTCATTAATGGATGTCATAATTTCAGAACACATAGATGACATATATATAGGTTTCCTTCTTTCTGTCATTTTAGCAAATGTTTTTGGAACATTTATGCAGGTTATGGCCTTGTTGAGACAGACCACAACAATTTCTATAGAATTATAGCTAATTATCTCACAGAATAATTTCCCTTGTTTCAACATAATTGGGTGTAAAGAATAAAAGACACACTTTTTATATTGTTACATCTTCTATTTTGATCATAGCAAAAAAAAAAAATTAATCTATTTTAATTCTTATGACTTTGCTTGTGCTTGGACGGGTACGGGGGAAGCGGGGACGGGAACAGGGATTATAAATTTACCTGCAAACGAGGATGGGAGATGAAAATTATACCCTTTAGCGAGGATGAACCGGAGATGGACGAAGGTTTTTTAAGCGGGTACGGGGATGAAAACTATACGCCCGCCCCCGCTTCGGTCCATTGACATCCCTAGGGGTTAGTGAGTGCTGAGATATTTCCAGTCATGATTGGTTTCTTTATTTTTTTTTCTTGTTTCCTTCAAATTGTTCAATTATTTTTTATGAGCCTATAATTATGTTCTAATTTGGAGAACAATTTAATGATAATTGGGGGTCTATCTTTTGGGAAACTTATAATAATTTAAGTTCATTCATTAAACATATTTGATTTTAAGCTCTTTTATTATCTGTGGACATCTTTTACCCTTACTTAAAGTTAGACTCAAATTTAAATTTGAATAAAAAACTTGCTCCAACCCTTGGCTCAAACGTACTAAATTAAGAAAAACTCATTTTTTTACTCAAATTAAAGAATACTCAAATCTTTAATAGTGAGATTTTCTCGTCTTTTAAAGATTCAATGGTCATTCTTACTTAGGGATGACAGTGGACCGGGGAAAAAGGGTATTCGTCCAAACCCGTCCCGTTTGGACCGGGAATAGACTATACGTATTAGACGGTGGACGTATACGACGATACTCGTATAAACCCGTGCGGGGATGAAGGTGGGGATGGACTTACCCTTACCACATCCCGCACCATCCCCGTTACCCGTTATATATATATAAACTCTCAATTAAAACCCTAGTAACTTGCTGCTTCTCTCACCTCTCTTTGCTTCTCTCAGTCAATCCCAAGCCACACTCCTCAAACTCTCTGGCAACCGCCACACCTCGACTCCCTTCTTTCCTCTATCGTCTCAGCTCTAGCGCCTCCCACTGCAAAGCAACCACAAGCCAACACCGGACCACCTCGAGCCTCAGCCACCATCAACCGAATCATCATCAGTCGTCTTTTCTGGCAATTTGCAGAGCCCGATCCTTCATTGTGGATTCTTTAGTCAATTTATATTCTTTTCGCTTCTCTTCTCAGTCCATTTTCTATCTATACGACAATTAGACACGAGATCTAAAACACTCAAGTCTCCTCTTCATCTCTAAAACCTTTACCGCATCAGCCACGCATAATGGCTATTTGATCTGCTAAAGACAGCCACTGGTATATTGATATCTGCATATTGATTGTTTGTGTATGATTGTAGAGTTGAATGTTTCTTCTATGTAATTCGACAGAAGATGCTTTTCTTGTGTATAACGTTTAATGTGTTAAGAAATTTATATCTTTGATTTACATTTCATTATTGAACTTGGGGCTTTTTTAATATGTCTCTTTGTGTTCAATTGGGTTGGTTCAATGTGCATTTTGGTGGTGTTTCTAGGGCTGTTTCTATGCTATTTTGGTGCTATTCTGGGGCTGCTTCTGGTGCTATTTTTTTGGGGCTATTTTGCTATTTCAATTTGCTATAATTCATCCATTTAACTGAATTGTATTCTTGAGCTATTTAATTTCTAGATTGCTTTGCATTATGTTGTGTTAGAATTTTGATAAGATTATTTAAAATATTGGATTTATTTAGAATTTTGGATTATGTTGACTTGAACTTGGGCTTGGGCTTAGGTTTGGGCTTGGGCTTGGGTGGGGACAAGGACAGGGACGGGGATTATAAATTTACCCGAAGACGGGGGTGGGGATGAAAAGTATACCCGTTAGCGGGAATGGACCGGGGATGGATGAAGATTTTTTAAACTGGTATGGGGATGAAGACTATATCCCCCGCCCTCGCTTCGGTCCATTGGCATCCCTATTCTTACTCTCTTTTAAATTTGAGTTTGTCCTCATTTAAATTTTGGTCTCTCATTCTTTAAATTTGAATTTGTCAATTGGAGTCCTTTATATCAGATCAAAATTTTTACTCAAATGTTAATTTAAATTTGAGTAAAAATTTGAGTCATGGTTGGAGATGCTCTTAGTAAGTAGTTAAGTCTAAAAAAGAATCCCGTTCAAAGTAAATTTTAAATTGAGAAACCAATTACCTATAAATTACGTAGAATGAAGATCTTTTATAAAATTTAAAATTCATATCTACTCATCTTCTTCTTATGTATATACTCTAGGTTCGAATATGCAATGTTGTTGTATTCACTGGGGGACCATTGTCTACCGAGCACTAATGGATCGATTTTGAAGTTTGGAGGCGAGTCAAGCAAAGCTCAAAGAACAACTGGATGTACGGGTTCAAGAACAATGTGTCAAGAATTCACGGGATGATAGGGCATCAGATTCCAACAAAGTGAGTCAGTACACAAGTTGGACTTGTGTTCCCAAAGTGTTCTTGTTAGAAAACGGTGGATCGGCTAAAAGAATTGATGGCTTTGACGAAATCGATGGCAACTCTCCAATCGAAGTCTCTATCTTCCTCTCCATTATTGATTATACGCAAAATATGTCTAAGATTGACTTCAGGTATTTTGCTTGAATCTTTCAAACTCAAGCTACTTAGCTCATCACAAATTATTAGGGAATTTGAGGTCGGTACCTCCTCCCTAGAAACTACACCTCCACAGGAATAGCATAAAAGATAGCTGACTTTCACCTTAACATCACACATAACATAACAATCTTATATTTGAGTAAAGAAGTTGTAACCGTTTCAACGATGTCCATGACAATTACATAAAAGGCACAACCATTACAAAAAGAAAGCAAAGATCACGCCCAGGATCATTCAAGACCCCTAAATATTATAAATAATGGGGATATCCCTCACAAAAGGACACAAGCAGGAAATACCCTGTAATCTTTCTCCTTTTATCAACAAAATTGCCCCCAGAAAGCAAGAGACTCCCTTANGATTATAAATAATGGGGATATCCCTCACAAAAGGACACAAGCAGGAAATACCATGTGTAATCTTTCTCCTTTTATCAACAAAATTGCCCCCAGAAAGCAAGAGACTCCCTTAAGAGTATAATAGCCGAGCTCTCGAATTAGTGAACCACTATAAACACTTTGTGCACCATCCTCCATCTCTCTTGTTCAAGTCTTAGGAGTCTAGAAGTGTTTGGTGTCCCATTAATCCCCTAAGATCGTTAGGTTTGCTCAATTGTGCAACACACACCATCAACTACTATTGTTCCATCTTCCGAGTAAATTATAATTTGAATTCCCAAACACAAGCAGAGAAGATGCACGTTCTCTCTCTCTCTCTCTCTCTCTGTNTTTAATATTGAATGTTAATATTTTTCAAAATGTTAAATTGAATGTTACTATTTTGTGTGTGCGTGTGTGTGTGAAGTTATTAAGTTCAAATAAGGTACTGTTAAGGTAAAAAGGACATGTCATGTGTTTTTTTGTTCTCTAATCCATTTTAATTGGATATTTTTTTAATTAGCAGTGCGCTATTGAGTACAGCAAACTAANACCCTTTGAAATGCAATCATTGCTAGTTTCAGACATTTTGGATCTGAATCTTGAAAAAGAAAAATGAAGTGGGGTTTGGTGGTGTATAAGCTGAAGTTTATTCTATAAATTTTATTTGATCAAAGAGATCAATTAAATCTTAATTTCAAGATCTAAAACAATCATGATTTTCACATATCGATTATGCGGAATTAAAAACATCATAACATTATAATCAACATACTTGGAGCCATAATCGCAAACTTTGAATTACTTGATCAAGAATTGAATCATCCTTTGGTGTATTCCAGAAATCGATTTCTCTCTCTTAACCTTTATTCTTACGATAAACAACTCGAAGGGGCATGTATATATATATATATATAGGTAGAGAGAGGACCAATTCCCGAGTTCAAAATAAACTCTACTTCCCATCAAAATAGGACATCAGAAAATCAATTTTTTTTATTGATCAATCAAAAATCATTAGTTATATCAGTTAGATTAGAATTGGTAACATTATCATCATTTAATCTAAATTANTAGGTAGAGAGAGGACCAATTCCCGAGTTCAACATAAACTCTACTTCCCATCAAAATAGGACATCAGAAAATCAATTTTTTTTATTGATCAATTAAAAATTATTAGTTATATCAGTTAGATTAGAATTGGTAACATTATCATCATTTAATCTAAATTAATTATTTGATAATAATCAGTAAAATCACATGTATCAAATCAAGTGGGTCATATTAATTCTTACATATTCTGAATTTGTAACGAAGTAATTTGGTTGGGTGTTGGGGAAGACAAAGAAAATGGGAATGAGTGGTATCAAGCCTAATGCTGGCGAGTCATCTTCATCCTCATTGTCGAGTGTTCGAAGATGTCGATCAAAAGGAAGTAGAGTTTTATTGCAGTCTTCGGGTGTCGACACACCCTCCTCTGGATCTCAAAACGACAGTGACATTGCAGCTTGATAAGTGGAGTCAATCAGGCCTCTCCAATACCATCTCTAGAGGTGGTAGTACTTCTGCCCGATATTTCTCTTCTTGATCATGGCATACTCGGCAAATCTATTGCTTATTAATATTCAATGTACTATTTTTTTTGTTACTATTTTTCGAAAATGTCAATATTAAATGTTACTATTTTTTAAAATACTAATAAATTCAATGTTAATATTTTTTGTATTGTATGTTACTATTTCTGTCATATATATAATATTTTTTGTAGTGAATGTTACTATTTTTTATTTATTTTTTGAAATTTTAATATTCAATGTTACTATTTTTTTATTTTGAATGTTATTATTTTTTTGTTTTGAAATGTTATTATTTTTTATTTTATTTTTTAAAAATATTAATATTGAATGTTAATATTTTTCAAAATGTTAAATTGAATGTTACTATTTTGTGTGTGCGTGTGTGTGTGTGAAGTTATTAAGTTCAAATAAGGTACTGTAAAGGTAAAAAGGACATGTCATGTGTTTTTTTGTTCTCTAATCCATTTTAATTGGATANCCACTCCACTAAAATCTCTCATATAAAATTACTAAATCTATCCCATTTTATACACCTCACAAATGACTAGCCTTACCTCATCTTGAGAAAACATTGCATCTAAAATGTCTGAGCATTAATAACAAGTAGTTTGAAGCTCTATAAATTTGAAGAGTATATCTACTTGTTCCTCCATCAATCTCCCTCTCTCCTTATATCTCTGTCCATGCACCTCTTTGTTTCTTTCTCCCTCATGTGATTAATGGGTTCGTTGTGTTCTTACTACCTGTAGGGAAAAATAGTTGAAATCAACACTTATATATAAAGACATTGGACAACAATGACAGTGAAAATGAGTGTTTTTATTCCTCTTCTTATTCTTTGTCCTAAAAGTCGAGTTTCTGCATCAATTCTGTGACTATTTTGAGGAAGAGTAGTGAAATGAAAGTTAACATTTGATCTCACCTCTATCTTGATAACACTAGTTAATGTTAATGCATTAAAAAAATTAGAACAGACAATTGTTGATTCTACCCTTTCCAAAAGTTTTTCATACCCTATTTTTCAAATAAAAGTTATGTAAACCCCTGTGTTTTAATTCGGGTACATTGGAATCCGGGTACATTACTGAGTCCAGGATATCGAGAATCATTGGAATTAATGTTCAAACGATGTAGTTATCTCAAGGGCAAAATGACAATTTGACATATCATGTATAAATTGAATTGAGGCGTTTCTAGGTTAAAATGATGTTACCAATAGAACTGGGAGATCAAAAAACTTTATGATTTGTGATTGGTTAATGTTGGGATTCGGAAAGGTAAAACTATCATTTTGGTATTTTGGTTATTAATTTGGATTAGGTTTTGAATCGGTTTTGGGTGTATTCATAAAAATATATATTTTTGGGTTAAAATAACATTAGGATTTTATCCAGAATGTCAAAAAATCTTAAGGGACACATTTGGGGTGAATTAAAAAAGTTTAGGGGTGAAAACTTAATTTGGCAAAAGAGATCAGAATGTTTTGGTGGTCAACCAACTTTCGCAAGGCGATTGATCGGCTAAAGATGGTTCATTGGATTTAAAATGCGGTTGACTGACTTCTTGGAAATTTATGTCGGTGCTTCCGCTGCTTTTATCAGGTGAGCCCTAATTTCTTTATACAATAAAATAGTTTATAATCTAAATTTCAAAAAATAAATAAAATAATTTTTATTATTCGTAGTTAAAATCGTTTTAAATTTTACTTTAAAATTAATCTAACGACTAATATTAACACCCTAAATTTAATAGGAAAAATATGCTCCTAAAGGTGTATTTGAAGTGACTTTTTAAAAGTACTTTTAAGAATTATTTCTTATAAATATTTTAAAAAAATTAGTGTTTGAAACCACCCCATCACTACCTCAACCACCAGCACTACCACCGTCGCTGCCACCGCCGCAGTCGCCACCACCACCCCTACTGCCACCAACACCGCCCAACTCCTACCTCCATCACCGTTGCCGCCACCCTACCACTGTCATCGCTGTCACCCCCACCCCCACCCCCACCATCGTCCGTCGCCACCACCACCCCCCACAACTATCGTTGCCGCCACCACCGCCACCGCTACCGCCACCACCACCATCACCGCTGCCACCACGGTCATTGCTACCAACCACAACCATCACCGTTTCCTACCATTATCACTGCCGCCCACCACCTCTCACCCCCACTACAAACCAATGCTTAAATTCTTTTATCTCTTCTCTATGTTTGTGATTTAATTTTGGATATAAATACAAATATGTTTATTGTTTACCATTTTTTATTATTCTGTAGCTTTAGACACAGACAATAATTAGTATACTTTATATTCCTCATTATGTCGTGTCTTCAAAAAACCTCTAAGCACCTCTAAACACTTAGAACAAAAGAGAGCAAAGAGGAAAAATAATAGACAGCTAGTCGGGATTTTGGCCGATCCAAAATTTGACTACGTTGATTTAACGATATTTCATATTTTTTCTTTAGAGGTAAGAATTTTTTTTCTAATTCATAATCAATGATGCATTTCGTATTAATTTTGAGTTCGTATCAAATCTATGTTCTATATGATCAAAATATATTTATGTTCATTATATTATTCATTGCGAAACCGCTGAGTTTTGTTATTAAACATGATTTATCACATCTAATGTTAAATAGATTTATTGACTTTTATGATTTTGATATCAGTAAACTTGTTGAATAATTATTTTATTATTTGGAATCGAGATATTGACTTGGTTGTTATCCTTGATTTTATGGAACCATATTATTGATTTACATATTATTTTGATAACAAAACATTGAATTGACTATTGTTGTGGATTTATTGGAATATTATTGTTGAATTATGGCATCGTGAAATTATTATTTTACTTATCTAAAAGCGTGGATGCACAATATTGATGTTGAAAAAATTGATTAGTGATACCATAGGACGTTGGTGGCCTATGTTGTACCATGGATGTCTGGTATTCATTATTTTATGACTAAAATTGTAGGATTTATGGATGGCGTGTACCAAAGGACAATTGTTGCATGTGTGGTACGAAGGATGTCTTGTATTAGTTTCTTAGAAAAGCAAGTAGGGCATAGTGTCCCTAGGGTGCAAGACTCCAAAGTACCTCGGAGTGGTTACAGTTCATAAGTGGACTGGATTATTATTGGTTGGTTATATTGATGCTTGGGGCATTCTAGAGCCTTTAGATTTATACATGATATCATGATTGGCATGCATGCATATCATGATTTTTCAATGCATATGATAGGAATTTTAAGATACATATGTGATGGTGTAAACTGAATTATATGAGTAATGAATCGTAATTATGCTTTGCAGTGATAGTGATGTGATAATGAAAGAAATGTTTTTCTAGGGGCTGGGAGGATTAACACAGAAGAAGTATAGTGGTTCACCAGCTCGGGAGCTCGGCTAATTCACTCTTTAATAGAGACTCNAAAATGTTTTTCTAGGGACTGGGAGGATTAACACAGAAGAAGTATAGTGGTTCACCAGCTCGGGAGCTCGGCTAATTCACTCTTTAATAGAGACTCTTGCTCCTTGCCTTTCAATAATAATGACTACAAGAGTACAATGACTATTTTTTGCCTCTAAGGTCCTCTATGCTCTTTGGGGGCATTACGTAGTATTTATAGGGCTGTTCCCTATTCAGTGGGATATTGGCCGAGATTCTTGCCTTTACTTTGTGGGGTTCTCCTTAATCCTAGGAGAAGATCTTGGTTGNACTCCTTACCTTTCAATAATAATGACTACAAGAGTACAATGACTATTTTTTGCCTCTAGGGTCCTCTATGCTCTTTGGGGGCATTACGTAGTATTTATAGGGCTGTTCCCTATTCAGTGGGATATTGGCCGAGATTCTTGCCTTTACTTTGTGGGGTTCTCCTTAATCCTAGGAGAAGATCTTGGTTGGTTGGGATTAGGTGCCTTGATTATAGCTTCCTAACGCTTTAGGAACCTCTCATGGTTATCCAACCGTTGCTTTGCCTCAAGAGACATTCAGCCCTTGCCTTCTGACCTCAGTTAATATGTCTAACCTCTCTGTCTGAGCTGAAATCCTAAGCTAACATTTGAAATTTATTTTAGGCATCATCAGTTGTCCCCTAACCCNTTTGCCTCAAGAGACATTCAGCCCTTGCCTTCTGACCTCAGTTAATATGTCTAACCTCTCGGTCTGAGCTGAAATCCTAAGCTAACATTTGAAATTTATTTTAGGCATCATCAGTTGTCCCCTAACCCTTGGCCCAAGTGAGCTTGGGCATAGGCTGAGCTGCTTTTACCTTGGACCAGACCTGCACCTAGTTGATCTTAGTCCGCGTGTGGGATGCACGTAGGAGGGGCTTTTCGATAGTTACAGCAATCATGGCTCTCTTGGTTCCCGCACACGCTTCATCCCATGTTTTTCAAGCCTTAAATGCTCAAACGGCTATCAAAAACCGTACAGAACCACCGTTCATCTTCTACGCTGTTCACCTTCGTCTCNTGAAGTGTGCCAATCTGACTTTCGAGAATAATGACCTTAAGGTCCAGGTAAAGGAATTACAAGAACAAGTGAAGCAGCAGTCTTCCCTTTCCAAATCCAGACAAGAAGAGCTCAGCAAGACTAAGGAAGAACTCCGGTCAAAAAATGATGACTGGATCAAGGAGAGCCGGAAGTCCCTTGATACTTTGGCTTCTTTCAGGAACATGAAGAGGGAGTACGAGGCGTTAGTAGAGGCCAATGATGCTGTCAGGGAGGAGTTAGAGGTTGTCAAGGATATGCTGGAGGTGCGAGACACTACCATCCAAAAAAAGGATAAGCTGATTGCCCAACTAGAGGATGATGTTCTCACCAGGTGGGCAAAAGGGTGGATTGCTTTCCAGGGTATAGCTGAAAGAACTTATCCTGAACTGAACTTTGACTTTTTAATTCCCCCTGAGGAAGA